ATTAAGTTTGTATCCCGAGGTACCACTGTATATGTCTTTGGGATTGGCAGCATTGTCTCTAATTCTTGGCCTGTAGGCATAGTCTGGCCTGTCAGGTTAGACCAGGCCTGCACAACTTGTCAAGGGGAAAGAGCCACATTGGTAAATTAAAAATCCTTGTGGGCTGCAAATACCACAAGTGCCGATCAGCTGTTCTGTGTCTAGTGGAGTGGCGGAAGTGCTGAAGCTGGTGGAAGTGGCTCTAAATTTATCACTTTTTAAAAAAATGTTGGTGGGCCACACAACGTACCTGCTTTCAGGGGAGAGGCAAATAGAAATTCCATATGGTTCTGACCTATTTTATTTGGAATTGTAGGTGGGAACACTACAGATGTCTCAGATCATTGTACTCGCAGTAACAGCAGTGAAAGTCCAGACTTTATGACTCCCAAAGCTACAAGTGATCTGGCTGTGCGGCGAGCTCGACACCGGCTACTTTCAGGTGATTCTGCGGAAAAGCGGACCTCACCGCGACCTGTCAATAAAGTGATCAAGTCAGCATCAGCCACTGCCCTCTCCCTCTTGATCCCCTCAGGTAACTATCTTTTTCAAGATTTTAAAAAATAAAACAAAGCAGAGGACAGCTAAATGTGACAATAACCACTATCTTCATCTTTTCCTGAGTTTGCTGGAACCCACAATATTCTACCAATGCTGGTGCTGTAGTGAGGAGCGTGATTTCACTGTGGTTGTTTTATTATAGCCACCATAAGTACAGTATTACTTTTAAATCTACTTGTTTTGATAAATCATTCCCAAGGAGCATGAAGTTCATATTAGGCACTTATGTAGCACTATGTTGATGTTACCAACAGAAGAAACATAGATTATCTTCTTGCTGGGTACCAAAAAAGTTACCAGTATCAGCTCTAATCTAAACCCCAGGGAAAGATGATTCCACAACTTCTTTGTCATCACTAAGAAAGCCCTATTGTAAACTCCAAAAACCTGCACTTCATTTAATAATAATAAATCCAGAATTACCTCCTCAAAAGATCTCAGGTCATGGCTGGGCTGTCTGCAGTGTGGGTGTTCCTTTTCATTAACCATATAAGACATTTAAAGCTATTTAGGACTTTGTATATCAATAACTAATGTGTCTAATTTGGCTGAACACACAGGCAGCTGGTGTAGCTCTTTAAAGGTAGATATTTGAGTTTTCAGCCTCCTCATAGTTCCATTTTCCACCAGCAACCTTCTCTACTTAAAAGCAACCCAGCAATGCATTATTTAAGAATGATCCAACTGCAAATTTACCAAAACATTTCTATAGACAGGCTTTCTCTTTCCAAAACAGCCTTAGCTAAAGAGCAAGCTAGATATGAAAATAGGAATTCTGCAATCTTACACACAATTGATAAAATAGACTAGGACCACCACCAGATTATGTACGTGTGCTTTTAGAAGTAGGATGATCCTATCCAGAACAAGCCAGCCTCCTAATTCTTGGACCTAGGAGTCACCAGTCCCTTTTATGCTGATTAAACTTCAGTTTAATAGCCCTCATCCAACCCATAATTACTTTTAAAAACTGATGAAACATCTTTATATTTTCTTCTGATTTCAGTAGAAAAGAAAAAGATAATTCGATACTATCAACATACTAATTATACCTTATTTCAAATCCTTTGATGAACCTACCCACCTCCCAATTTGGCAACCAGTATAGATCTCTGTAGGACTTTACATGATAGCTATCCAGGGGACTAAGCTAAACTTCTCCTCCTCATTCACTGGAATTGGTCCTGGAAGCAGGAGCCACAATATTACCTTGACTCTAGCTACCAACTCACAGAACTGCCACAGAAATATGCAGTAAAGAATGCAGTCAAGAAATTAAGAGGAAATAACAGAATCATAAGAGTCACTTTGGTCTAGTGGTTAAGGTGCTGGATTAGGAGCAGGAAGTCCTGAATTCTTGTCCTGTTTTGGGCACAGAAGAGGGCTAGTCACTTTTTTTCAGCAATAGGAAGAAAGCAGTAGCAGACCACTTCTGAAAATGGTCTTGGACACATATAGTTTCCAGGAGTCAAGACTGACTCAAAGACACGTGTGCACACACACATACATAACCCTCCTCTCTGGCCCACCCCTTACAAGTTAAAAACAACAACAACAGGATGGGTACAATCAATTAGAAGTTCAAACTAGACCTGAAGCCTGATTGAAATAGGTCCAGATAATAATTTTCTTTCAAGCACACCTGTTGAAGAGCGGTTCTTGTTTTATGATTGCTGCATCATTTCTCCATCAAGGGCAACACCCTCTGTTGAACTGCCTGGTGTAGCAGTATTCACAGGAGCACTGCGAGCTCCACTCCTTTTGGACATCCATGCAATTAAGTGACACATATGGAAAGTGGCAGAGTTTATGCTGCAATGCTGCTTTCATCAGTCTGACCCCTCCCCCTTCTTCCTGCAGGTGCTACTCTATGGTATCCTCTTAACTGTTTTATAGAATTAGATTTTCCAAACAACTACAAATATTTTCCAAGGCAGCAACTCCTTCCATTATGTTTCAACATATCATCCCTAAAGAAATTAGAATTATGTGAAGCAGCATCAGCAGAACCAGTTTTGCATGCTGTGTTTGTATTGTATATTTTTATTTGATGTTGCCTTTGTAGCTGCCAGAAAAAAGACCTTGATTAAATGTGTCCTGCATCTGTAACATCCCTTAGAAGCTCCTCACTGATGATCTTTATATGTAGCTGAGATCTTTCTGAGGAGTTTGGGCCGCAGATTATTGACCAGATGGTCCTTTATGAAGTTTACCAGATATCCCCCATTAAGATTATTTTGTTTTTGCATGAGGTAAAGGGATAATTCTGACATAATGCTATGGATATGTGCATATACTTTTTTTTTTTAATTTTGAGGTATCACTATGTATTACTGTTCAAAAGGAACCGTATTATATGGATGTGAGAGAAGCATGTTCACACAGACTTTTGTCAGAAATGACTCTATTATTATAAAACCATATACTAAGTACTAAAATGTGTTTTGTGCATTTACTTTGTGTCTGGACAAAGAACATTTATGTAAGTGCTAGTTCATAAATCATAGTAACATATCCAACAGTTTATAGAACTAAATTCTGAATATTGCACTATAACATTGCAATATCGCAAATTAGTTTAGGTAGTATCAGGAATAGAATATACTGTAAGCCATACTGTACATTTTAATTGTTTGCTTTTAAGAGTTAGGAAAATTTTTTACCCAAACTGTAATTAGCTTTCATTTTATCTCCTATTGCTTCTTTGTGAATGCGTATTTGAGGTTCATGACAGTCTTAAACCTGGTGCATTTTAATGTGTAGTTTCTTAAAAATTGGTGAGCTTTAGAATAAGAAATTCGTAGTTTAAAATATTTTATTTTTGAGCACATATTTACAGGTGAATTGCACCAAGGTATGATCAAATTGCAAGCTGTCATTTTCCTGATGCTGTTATTAGAACATCTTTTTCCACAATGGCGAAGAAAAATAAAATGCAGCTTATAGGGTCCTGTAGTCAAAAAAGCTTAATTTTCCCTTAATAAATTAATGTAAATTTTATTTTCCTTTGAAAGCCAGGTTTTCTAATTTGGAGGCATTTTCTTTCTTCATGTAGAACACCATGCCTGTTCGCCATTGGCTAGTCCAATGTCACCTCATTCTCTTTCCTCCAACCCATCTTCAAGAGATTCATCTCCAAGCCGAGACTATTCTCCTGCTGTTATGAATCCCAAACCGCCAATCATCATCCATCGAGCTGGGAAGAAATATGGTTTTACACTTCGTGCAATTAGAGTCTACATGGGGAACAGTGATATCTATTCAGTGCACCACATGGTTTGGGTACGCTTGGACTTATTGGATTTTTCTGTCATGATATACAGTAATTTAGCAACAGCACTACACTGAAAATTAGAGCAATGTGCAATACCTTTAACTTAATAAAACACCTGGTGTATACCTAACAGCCTTTCCCAGAATTACCTCTGGAATGATGACTTCCTTTGCAAAAAAAATATATGTAGATGATGTATGTGCATGGAAATATCAAAGTTGAAACTTATAGGTTAATTACATTTAATTCCTTCTGAGCTGTGTTGACAGTGATTGTCTGTTTCAGATCATCTCTATCCCTTAGGCTTTTTTTACACATCTGTTTAGACTTAGTTACATGTCTTAAACCATCACTGTCTTCCCAGTGAATTGACCAGGGATTTTAAATTTACTTCAGCTCTGTGTTGCAGCTTATCTTATATAGATTTTTTTTTTTAAATGAATATATGGTTATGTGCCTGGATCATTTCCCACAATGAATGTTGTCTGTTATGCCATGCTCACAACTGAAGGGAAGCAAAATTATGTTCCAATTTCCCTATGGACATTACTCAGTGTTTATTTATTTAAATGGAGATTGTTCTTTGAAGCTAATTAGCAGCAATATAATAATAGGAAATAGAATAATTACTTCAGTAAATTTATTTCTGACTCTTATTTGTTATGACCTTGATAAAAATTGCATTATGTAAAGATATAGCTGCCAGAAAACATAAGACTTATATAACAAACCGAACTATCTTATTTGTCTTTTTTATATATATAATTTTATTAAGAATTGTTATTATAATAGTAAAATCTAATACAAACTAAAAGAAAGAAAAAAGAATAGAAAGAAGTAAGAAATGAAAGAAAAAAGGAAGAGAGAAGAAAAAGTAAGAATATAATAAAGAGAAAAAACATATACAGTATATAAAGAAGTGACTTCCAACCTTCATCACAACACGTGATAAACAAATTTAGTGACTCTTTACCCCCTCTAAGGTTACAGACATTACTCTTCATCCTATATCCCACCCCTTATCTATAAACAAATCCATAAACATATTTTCGGTCCTGGTGTCAGCAGAAAGTCCATAAAGGGTTGTCAGCAGTAATAACATATCTTGTTTTAACCTTGATCAAATAAACCAACTTTATATTCCTTCCTTTTACTTCTAACAGTCTTAAACTTTAGTTCATTCAAATATTGTCACAGGATTTGATTCTCTTCATTTCTTCTTTGTCCCACTGCACAGAGTTCTTCAAGGCTTTAACAAGCCTCTTTTGTAAATCCAACAGGAAAAAACCAGGTCACTCTCTTGTTTTGTCATTTGTATTTCCGTTTTAACTTAAATTAAGCCAGTTTCTTTTGTAGATCCAGTGAAACATCCTTTTCTAAGTCATTCTATTGGCCTGTCAGTTGTAAATCCACTCTCAACACTTGTCAGATAAAATTTGTTCTACCTCTGTCATTTCTTCAATAACATCTTTTGGACATAGTTTATACATAGAGGCAGACATCATTACTGACATTACTGATATTGTGGCTACTAATTTCTGACTCCATTCTTCAAAAGTCTCTTTCAGTATATTCATTGTTATAACGTTTTGCAACATTTTACAGGCTTGTAAATCTTTCCTCTACCTAAAAACTTTAGTCCCCTCTAATGTCCAGTTTTTGAAATCATGAAATTGCTTCTCTTTCTTGTGTCTTGTAAAACCAAAACAGAATCTATTTCCCATGAGAAGCTGTTTGTTCTTTATAATTAATTCCAAAATCTTATTATAAAAGTTTCAATATTCCAATTTTATCCGGACCCTTAGTCTGTTTATAACTGTATAAGGTCAAAATTTTATTTAGCTTTTTGCTGTTTATTTCAGATTTTTAAAATTTTTAAGCTTATGATGAAAATTTTCTTTCATTCAGGATTGAAGGCAGACTCACCTGGTGTTTTCAAACTTGTCATCCTGAAGGCCTCTAATAGCTTAGAAGTAGTTAATGAGCAATTTCCAAAAGTGATTAGAAAACTTGTCATCCTGAAGGCCTCTAATAGCTTAGAAGTAGTTAATGAGCAATTTCCAAAAGTGATTAGAAAGTGAGGTTTGCAAACTTAGTGTCCTTTAAAAGTCTCCGCTGTGGTTACGAGCAAGATGGCTTATCCCATCGTCTCCTGGCACTCAAACCCGCAGAAAACCACTGTCTTGCGGTCTCCTTGTGAGGGGCAGCCATCTGGAGCATATTTGGGCAATCTCCAGTCCTCTCTTTATCCAGAGAGATTCCAAGGGATAGGTCTACCGTACTCACAGTTCCTTGGTCTTTGCCACAGTCATTGGCTCCGCTTTCACAGAGCCATCTTCAGTTCGCCATATCTCCCCCAGAAGTCAGAACTATCTTACTTGTCATTGTTATAATAAACTGTTTATCCATTTTGACTCTGAAACTTCTGTAACTACTAATATTAGAGAATATTTGAGTATTGATAAGATAGACTTCACTAACAGCAGTACACTATTTGCAAGTAAAATGTCCTAGGTACAGTCAGAAGCATAGTTGTGTATGTATGGAATTGGAATGTGTTTTAATATAAGTAGTTATTATTAATATATTACTATTATTATTTAGCTTTGTTCTCTATCATTGCAGCATGTGGAAGAAGGTGGTCCTGCAAGTGAGGCTGGTCTAAGGGAAGGAGACTTGATAACTCATGTGAATGGAGAGCCTGTACATGGATTGGTTCATACAGAAGTGGTAGAGTTGATCCTGAAGGTAAAGATTGAAAATTGATGCCTACTGTGCAACAGGAATGATGTGCATTAGTAAATCTACTAATTTACTAGTTACTATCAAATGTTGAGTAAAAACTTTTTTTCCAGTAACTTGGAAGTGTTTAAAATGATTTTTTTTCTCATAGGCTCAGGTTACACAGAACACCTTTTATTATTTGATGTTGGAGTGTCAGGCTATTGATGTTTTCATGACCTCCAGATAGATTTGTGTAATGCATTGTATATGGTTGCTATTTGAAGAAGATTTAGAAATTGCAATTAAAAAAAAAAAACAGCTGCTAGATTGCTAACTGGAATTTGATGATATCATATTATGCCAAGGCTCGAGCTGGATCAGCTCTCAGCATTTCTAGATTTTTGATGATTCAAAGCTATGATAAGTTTTTTTGGTTGCTATTTGAAGAAGATTTAGAAATTGCAATTAAAAAAAAAAAACAGCTGCTAGATTGCTAACTGGAATTTGATGATATCATATTATGCCAAGGCTCGAGCTGGATCAGCTCTCAGCATTTCTAGATTTTTGATGATTCAAAGCTATGATAAGTTTTTTTCCCCTGAAAGTCTAGAAGTGCTGGGAGCTAATCCAGGTCATCAAGCCTTGGCATAATATAATTATATAATAACTGTATGTACACTGAGTTTTTTAATAGATCCCTGTCTCTGAGTACTTCCACTTTCTTCTTCATAAGGACACTCTGATTATGAAATGCCACCAATCTTCCTGGGGCCTACCTGTATGTATTTTCAGTGCCAGGCAAAGACTTCATTTTCCAAGACATTTTAAATCAGTGTTTCCAGGTGGCAGCCCCACACCAATCTTGTCTGTACTCTGCAGCTAAGCAGAATCAGTGCTAATTATTATTTGGATAGAAGACCAGGCTACCAAGAAAGGCAGGGCTTGGCTTCAGGTTAGTCTGCAAAATGAAAAAAAGGGCCACAGGAAAATGGCAATGGCAGACCAATCCATATTTTTATCAAGCAAATTAGAAAGATGGAATCACTAGGAGACAAGCATGACGTGAGGGGATCTTTTTCTCATTTATTTAATATCCTTTGCTACTTTCAAGATGTTACTGATTGAGTTTAATTATTTTCTTGTACGAGACTAGTCTGTTGCAAACCACACTTACATTTTGTTGTAAGTAGAAGGATAAAATTATCGCTATTAATAATAAATAAGTAATCTATTTAAGGGAGAGCCAGTTTGGTGTAGTGGTTATGACATCAGGCTAGAAACTGGGAGACTGGGAATTCTAGTCCCACTTTAGGCACAAAGCCAGCTGGGTGACCTTGGGCCAGTCACTCTCTCTGAGCCCTAGGCAGGAGCCAAACCACTTCCAAAAAGCCTTGCCAAGAAAACTTCAGTAACTTGTCCAAGCAATCGCCAGGAGTCAACACTGACTCAAAGGCCAAAAAAAATAAAAAATATTTAAGATGTATGCTGTATAGAATGTAATAGTAGAAGTAATGGTATGTTTATTACGGTCAAGAGACCCAGCAGGAAACAAATCTGGGTCTGTCACTCTCTCTCAGACCTAGACTGGGAAGTTGAAAAACAACTATCTACCAAACCGCACTAAACCAGCATGGTGAATTACAGTCCATAACCTTCAACGAAGAGGTCTTCATCTGGTTGTGGAATTGATTTGGACTGAAAATAAGTTTATCTTTCTCTCACTCCTCCAACTAATTAAATTATCTATCTATCTATCTATCTATCTATCTATCTATCTATCTATCTATCTACCTATCTATCTTTCTATATATCAAATTTG